ACATCGCATTCGCCTACAGCAACTGGGGAGTGGCCTCACGGTGAGGAGCGACCAGCATTGGCGCGAGGTCGACCGCTGCCTCGCCTACCTCGCAAACATCCGCGACACCGCTCAGAAGTTCGGCGGTGGACCAGAGTCGCTGGAGCTGATCGGCTACGTGGACGCCGACGATGCTGGCGACAAGCAGAAGCGGATGAGCACGAGCGGCTACGTGTTCGTCTACGGAGGGGCCGCTGTCTTCTGGTCGAGCTCGCGCACACTGCCATCGATTGAGTCAGGGTACGTGGCGGCCACGGATGCAGGCAAGGAGGGACGCGGACTCCGCTTCCTTCTTGCGGAATTCAAGCTGCTCGACGCTGGGAAGCCGACCATCCTCCGCGTCGACAACAAGTCGGTAATTACAGTCGCTGAGGGCTTGGGGCTAACGAGCAACCTCAAGCACATGGAGCGACGCTACGCCTGGCTGCAGCACATGGTGAGGCGCGGGAAGTTCGTGCTGAAGTACATCCCGTCCACCGAGCAGCCTGCCGATTTCCTGCGAAGGCGCTGCATTTTTCGGCCATCAACCGGTGCTCTGTCGCCATCGGCCAAAATCGTCTGGCCGACGTCGGCGACAGTGACGACGAGGTGCAGCAGTAGGTGCCGTGCCCTTCTGCACGGCTGGTGCGGTGACGGCGTGCTGTGTGTGGGGTGCACGCCGAGGACGAGTTTTTCTCCGTAAAGTACTGCCGTGTGGGCTAGAGGCCCAAGCGTGAGCGTGGCAGGGGAGTGGAGTGTTGGCCCCGCCCTCGCTTGGGCAACGCCGACGACTTGGTCGGATGTACGGGTGAAGCAGCTGATCGTTCGCAGTCAAGGAGCTGCAGGGTGTTATGGGGTTTCCGTCGACCAGGGGTGCTCGACGGGAGCTCGGTGACGGGTGGGCCATCGACCAGGAGTTCCAGTTCGACGGGGAGGTCGACGGAGCAGTCCATTGACCTGACATGTGAGCAACGGTCGACGAGGGGTGCTCGGCGACATCAGCAGAGGGTTCTGGTCGACGGAAGGGGTCCGTCGACCATGGGGCAGCTCGACAGGAGCTGTGGTCGACCAGGGACCCCTGGTGGTCGACCGGGAGACCTGGTGGTCGACCGGGGGACCTGTGGTCGACCAGAGCTCCTAGTGGTCGACTGGAGACACCTGGTGGTCGACCAGAGACGCCTGACGGTCGACCAGAAGCTCTGGGTGGTCGACCAGAGTGGCTGGTGGTGTCCAGGTTGATCGACCGGGTAACCTGCTCGACGAGTTCTGCGGAGGCACGCGAACGTCGTCGAGGTCGCGATGGCAAAGGCGACTTCGGGCTGGTATCCCGAAGTCGATGTGGCTTGTCAGGCGCAGACAACAGCCGACGGATGCACAGCAATGCAAGTCGGGCCAATCGTCTGCACGCACCTGCGAGCGTGCGCACTGCTGTCTTCTACGGGGCAACGCTGGACAGCCGCACTGCTGCAGCGTTGGCACGCCGTCGACCTGCTCGGCTGGCAGGTCGCTCTTCTGCAGTGCTGGCGCGGCTCCTCTACGCAACGCTGGCAGGCGGTCGACCATGCAGTGCTGGCGGTCGACCAGGCTAGCTGCAGAGTTGCTAGGTGCCTGATGTAGTCATTGTTGTCATTGCTTGTTCTATCATTCTGTAAAATTTTCAACTTTGCTAGTGGAAACTCTTGCCAATCTCTCCCGTGAACGTCAGTAGCTGCACGGCGCGAAACTCAGCATGCAAGTCGGGGTAGATCTCCTCTGTCGTCGCACGGTGCCGCGGGCAAAGCCGATCAGCCCGACCATCTCTAGCTGTGGCTCAATTGCTTTCTTCCAGGTCAGAATGTCGGGTCGACCGACGAGCAGGGGGGTGACCAAGACCCTCTCCGGCGTAAACTTGAAGTAGCCGTAGCTTGGTGCAATACCTCCTGCAATCACGTGAATCGCCGACATCGGCGACGAACCGCTTTGTCGACCTCGACGTTGCCCTGCGAAGAGCCTGTAGCCGCGACAACCGCACCCCTCGCGCCTGAACGCCGCCGAATTCATAGGAGTTAATCACACCTCGCTGCCTCGACGTGCCTCCCGCACCGCTTCCGACTTGGCAACCACTGGCGTTGACGCCCACGTCGACGCCGCCTTCGTTGTTTACCGGTCGAGGAGATGCAGGCCGGGACGGGCTCGGGAAGGGTGCTCCGTCGCCCACACGGCGCGGATGCCAGCCTGGACGATCTCCCAAGGAATTGCCCCGTACTACTGGGCCTCATGGCGTCTCCTCGCATCCTCCAGCTGTGCCTCCAGGGTATCCATCACCTACGCGCACGCTAGTGACTGCACGGCTGCCGGCCTACGAACAACTTAGGTAAGTGACCACTACGTCGACTAGACTGAAGGGTAAGTCGTGTGCCGTCCATGCTCACCGCACCATGCGGAGATAACTACTACAACGGGAGCTAGACTACGGGCTAGGCACGGGGTAGGAGTGATCGTAGCGTTCGTTCGTTCTCACACTGTTTGCTGGTTCACGAGGGAAATTGGCAAGAGTTTCACTAGGAAAAGAATAACAAAGGTTCAGAATGATAGCAACAACATTGAAATGCAAGACTACATCACACCTAGCAAAGCTGCTGGTCGACTGCCAGCGCAACACGGTCGACCGCGTGCCAGCACGACCTGGTCGACCGCGTTCCAGCAGAGCAATGTTGCGGCTTGCTAACGTTGCAGGTCCGCGGTGTGCCAACGCTGCAGCAAGTCGGCTGCACAGCGTTGCATCCGCAGGACAACGGTGCACCTGCTTCGCAGGTGCGTGCAGCTGGTTGGTGCTGTCACGTACATAGCGCAGAAGCCCAGGTCGACTCCACGCCAGCGACTGCGCCCACCAGCCACGTCGACCTCGGGACACCACCTCCGAGGTCGACCTCGCAGAAGCCACCCAGGCGACCTTCGCACACGTCGCCCGGGTATCCCGGTCGACCGGGAAACCAGGACGACATCACCAAGTCGGTGGTGACGTCCCCAGAAGCCCCCGCGGCCACCGCGGCCCCCAAGGTCCCGCGGCCCCCGCGGTTTCGCGGTCCTGCGGCCCCCGCGGTCCCATGCGGTCCCGCGGCCCCGCGGCCCACGCGGTCCCACGCGGTCCCACGGTCGTCGAGGTCGGCTCCGCCCAAGTGAGGACGGGGCCAAACACTTCTCCCGTTGACATAAGTAACGCACTTACCTCTTAGTACCAACCATATGGATGAGTTGCGCGCTTATACTCGGTACCAATCATATGGGTAAGTAATGCACTTACTCTCGGTACCAACCATATGGATAAGTAACGCGCCTTTTTTCGGTACCAACCATTTGGGTGAGTAACGCACTTACTCTCGGAACCAACCATATGGTTGAGTAACGTACTTACTCTCGGTACAAACTATAAAGGTGTGTAACGCATTTACTCTTGGTACCAGTCATATGAGTAAATTACACACTTGTTCGTGTTACCAACCATATGGGTAAGTAACGCACTTACTCTCTGTACAACCATATGCGTTAGTAACGTGTTTACATTCCGTACCAACCATATGGGTGAGTTACACACTTGCTCTCGGTACCAATCATATAAGAAAGTAACACACCCACTCTCAATACCAACCATATAAGTGAGTATTGTACTTACTCTCGGTACCAACCATATGGATAATTATTGGACTTACTCACGGTACCATCCATATGGCTAATTAGCGCACTTACTTGTGGTAACAACCATATGGGTAAGTAACGCACTTATTCTTGGTACCAACCATATGGGTAAGTAACGCACTTACTCTCAGTACCAAACAATATGAGTGAGAAACGTACTTATTGTTGGAACCAATCATATGGGCAAGTGATGCACTTATTCTTGGTACCTATCATATGGGTAATTAACGCGCTTACTCGTGGTACCAACCATATGGGTAAGTAACGCACTTACTCTCGATACCAACCATATGGTTGAGTAACGCACTTACTCTCGGTATCGATCATATGGATGAGTAACCCACTTAATGTAGGAGCCGTATCTCATACGGAACGCCGTCTTGTGGATCAAGTTGTCCGCCATCTTGATCTGCCAGTAACCCGACCGTAGGTCCAGCTTCGAGAAAACCACGGGTAATTATTGCACTTACCCTCAATACCAACCATATGGGTGAGTAACTCATTTACTCTCGGTAACAACCACATGAATAAGTAGCTCACTTACTCTCGGTACCAACCATATGGGCGAGTAATGCACTTACTCTTGGTACTAACCATATGGGTAAGTAACGCGCTTACTTTCGGTACCAACCATATGGGTGAGTATCACACGTAATCTCAGAACCAACCATATGGATAATTACTGCACTTACTCTCGGTACCATCCATATGGGTAATTAGAGCGCTTAGTTGTGGAACCACCCATATAGTTAAGTACCGCACTTACTCTCGGTACCAACCATATGGGTAAGTAACGCACTTACTCTCGGTACCAACCATATGGGTGAGTAACGCACTTACTATCGGTCCTAGCCATATGGGTAAGTAACACACTTATTGTCTGTACAAACCATATGGGTAAGTAACGCGCTGATTCTCGACTCTTAATACCAACCATATGGGTAAGTAACGCTCTTACTTTCGGTACCAACCATATAGGTGAGTAACGCACTTACTTTCGGTACCAACCATAAGGATAAGGGCGCGTGTCTTTTGGTGTAGAGGTTCAAAAATAAGCTCGAACTTTTGCTGGTAACCCGTTTCGCAAATTTCTCAAAGCTACCTTTGCGAGAGCCGTGTGTCCTACCTCTGACAGTGGTCAAGTTGGAGGAAACAAAACCTAGGTCGAACTCATGTACGAATGGGTAACCATCACGATTGGGCAAACGTGTGTCCTCCTGAGCATGCTTCAAGCAAATGCAAAATACGCGACCGTCGCAAATCGGATTCCCGACGTCGCGAACAGCCACGTCAGAACTTTACGTAGCATGAAACGCCCATTCTGCCACGATGACCATTCGGCATTCGCGGTTCAAGAATGCTTGGCGCGAATGTTCTTCACATCTCACACCTTTGAGCAATTCAGCACTCGGCTCGCTAATAATGTGGCGGTATGAAAATGACGATTTGAACTTGCAACATTCACAGTTTCCAATCCAACTCGTCAAGCACAGACATAGCAGCCATAACACCGATGACCACTAAGGGCAACGGCAAGCCTGGCTCGTCATCAGCACCCACTGCTAGTATTTTTTCAGCCGCCACCACTCTTAGGAACCAACAGCGCCGTGTCCGGTCCACTAACCAGACCGCCGCTAACCGCCGTCTTGACGTATTCGACCTCGACACTATAGTCCTCCTAGTGCCCGACCCCAAGGCGCCACTAAACGCCGACGACGACACGCTTGCGTATTTTGACGTAGGCGAGCTTAAGACTGACGTCGACGACCACGCTGAAGAGGAGGGTGAACCCGCCATGGCGGGTGAGAAGCGCAGCTGGGAAGATGCTGAAACCATGCAGCTAGCATGGGTCCGTCACGACAAGGACGAGGAGGTCCGCAGACGACGAGGAGGTCTGCAGTCAAACTCGTCTGCAGGGGCAAAACTGTGACGTCACAGTATGGCTGGAGCTGAAAAGGCGCCACCCGAACTTCCGTCACAAGTTCGCGGCGGTGAAGGCGAAAATTTTTCGCATGGAGACGCATTACCGCAAAGTGCGCGACCTCCTGCTGGAGCCTTCGGGCAAGGGTCGTCCAATCAAAATCCCCATCTACTATGAGATTTATGATCGCATTTTTGGAGACCGTGCCAACGCACGTCCCCCCGCTCTTGCAGGTAGCCTCCCCGGAGCCAACGTCGTCAGCACTCCTCCCACTACACCCGGCATAGCAGGTTTGTTAATATCTGCTATTGGTGAGAGATGCACTCATTAGAGCAACAAAAATCCGTTTAACAATGTTGCATGATTACAAAATGCCCTTATCCAGTTGCTCTAACAAATTTTCAACCCCCACCCCTCCCCTTCTCTTGTGATCTGCCTTTGCAGATCAGGGTCCAACGACTGAGGGTGGGGGGTCAGGCACTCCGCCTCGGACGACTGTTGCGGCGCCATCACCGCCCCGCACCACGCTGCCAAGTTCACCTCAGGCACCACCCACCACTTCCCCGTCGCGCCCGTCGTCGACCTATGTGGCGGAGGCATCCCCGCCGTACTCAAGGGGAGCCGGTGCGCGCGCGGGCTTGGGGCTGCACGGGAACTGCATTGTCCGCTGGCCTGGCTGCGGGGACAGGCATACACGGCATGTAAGGTGGAGGGGCACAGTCGCTTGACAATCAGCTCAGCGGCGTGGACTCGGCTCTGTGCGACGAAATAGTGACGCGCATTGCGGGGACTATGAGCGGCCTTTTCAGAGACAACTTCGAGCGGTACATGCAACTCACCCGAGAGCTGGTGCAGTCTGGTCAAGATAACCCAGACGCCAAGAGGCGTAAAGGTAACCCGCCAGGCGCTGACGGCGGCGGGTCAGCGTGAAGCCGACGGAGTCAGGCGTGTAGTGCGGTGCGTCGGCCACCGGTCCCTGCTCCCACCATCGGCTGCGCTCGCGCGGCTCCTCCAATCGCGGGCGCACACCGATGACGAGGTCGATGTTGTGCAGGGTGACGCAGGCCGCCACGTAGCGCGGTGCACGGAAGATGTCGCACTCGAGGGGACTGTCGAGAAGGCGCCATTTGGTCTTCAAGTGCCCGTTCACCTGTTCAACCACCATCCTCGCCCTTGATTGTTGCAGGTTCCGGACCCGCTGCTCGTCGGGAAGGTGGCGGCCAGTAGTAGCTCGGTATGGTGTATAGAGGTACTGGCGCAGGCCATAAGCCGCATCAGAGACAATGACGTAGTTCAGTAGCCCCCCCTGCTTAATTCTAGTCCTTGCCGGCTGTTCTGGAAGACCCGCGCGTCATTGACGCTCCCGGTTCAGCCCGCGAAGATATCCCAAATAAACCCATTACTATCACAAATTAGTTGCAAAATTATGCTGAGTAACTTCTTTCTGTTTCGAAAGTCCTCCCGGTGGGGCCCAAACCTCATACAGCGTATATATGTGCTGTCCATTGTACCAACAACACCTGGGATGCCAGCAAAACGACGAAACTTCCGCTCCATCACCACAAACATTTCTAGGTCAGGCCATCCCACCCACAAAGGTGCCAAAAAAGTTTACATAAACTTTAGAAAACGGCCGAAAAGCTTTTGGGTGTAAGAATAACTGTACCCAACATGAACACCCACTTGGCGAAATGACAAACCGTGCCCCAACTTGCTAAGTGCCATCGCGATATGCACAAAATCGTATTTTGCCACATTGCAAACCTGCTGCGCTGGTACTGGCGAACCAGGTGAGTGAAGGTGCGCTTATCCACCCGCATGTATTCGTAAAAACTCCTGTTGGGCAGGATGCTGATAAGCTGAAACCATCGCATGCGAGAGTCAAGCCGGTCGCCCCTGACGAAAACACGTGTCTGACAGAGAGAAATGGCGCGACGAGAGTTGGCAGAGCCGTACGAATTGCGATAGACACTGGCAGCAGGAACAGTCGTAGGTACCCCCGACACACGAGCGCGAGAAAGCGGAGGAGCTGGACATTTGTCATGGTTGCAAGAATGATATGAATTTTAGGTTGGACACGAGGGCTATTTGTAGCCCTCGTGTCATCGAGTCGCCACAGTCATACGTGGCACGCTGTCAAGGCGTGAGATCCGGGTAACCTACGAATGTTGTGCGCGATTCGGGGGTGAGTGTACAAAGTTGAACTTCGATACTCGAACTTTGGTGTGCCTCGTGCTTTCGGTGAATTGGGCATTCGCAACTCAGGCTCAAAATATGAGATATTCGAGTACAGGTCGACCTAAGTTCAAACATTAAAATTCGAGTAAAAAACATGAACTTTGGCCTACATTTCAAAGACACGCGCCCTAATTATTGCACTCAGTCTCGGTACCATCCATATGGGCTATTAGCGCACTTACTTGTGGTTCCAACCTTATGGGTAAGTTCCGCGTATACTTTCGGTACCAACCAAATGGGTGAGAAACGTACTCATTGCCGGTACCAATCATACGGGTAAGTGATGTGCGTACTCTTGGTACCAATCATATGGGTAAGTAACGCACTTACTCGTGGTACCGACTATATGGTTGAGTAAAGAACATACTCTCGGTACCAACCCTGTGGATGATTATTGTACTTACTCTTGGTACCATTCATATGGGTAATTTGCGCACTTACTTTTGGTACCAACCATATGGGTAAATAACACAATTACTCTTGGTACCAACCATATTGGTGAGAAACGTACTTATTGTTGGTACCAATCATATGGGTAAGTAACGCACTTACTCGTGGTACCAACCATATGGGTAAGTAACGCACTTACTCTTGGTACCATCCACATGGGTAAATAACGCACTTACTCTCGGTACCGATCATATGGATGAGTAACACATTTAGTCTGGGTACCAACCATATGTGTAATTATTGCACATACTCTCGGTCCAACCATATAGGTACCAATCGTATGGGTAAGTAAAGCACTTACACGTGGTACCAACCATATGGATGAGTAACACACTTTCTCTTTGTACCAACCACATGGGTAAGTAACGCACTTACTCTTGGTACCAACCGTATAGGTAAGTAACGTACTTACTCTCGGTACCAACCATATGGTTGAGAAACCCACGTAGTCTCGGTACCGATCATATGGATGACTAACACACTTAGTCTGGGTTGCAACCATAAGGGTAGTTGTTGCACTTGCTGTCGGTGCCAACCATATGGGTGAGCAACCAACTTATTCTTGGTACCAACCATATGAGTAAGTAATGCACATACTCTTCGTACCAACCCTATGGGTGAGAAACGAATTTACTCTCGGTACAAACCATATGGGTAAGTAACGCGCTTACCCTTCATTACCGACCATATGGGTGAGTTACGCACTTAGTTCTGTACCAATCATATGGGTAAGTAACGCACTTACTCTCGACAGAACCACATGGATAAGTAACGCGCTTAATTTCGGTACCCACCATATGGGTGAGTAATGCACTTACTCTCGGTACCAACCATATGGTTGAGTAACGTACTTACTCTTGGTACAAACCATATAGGTAACTAACGCTCTTACTCTCGGTACCAACCATATAGGTGAGTAACGTCCTTACTATCGGTACCAACCATACGGGTAAGTAACTCCTTTACTCAACGTACCAACCATTAAGATAAGTAACACACCCACTCTCCGTACCAACCATATGGTTGAGAAACGCACTTACTCTCGGTACCGATCATATAGATCGGTAACACACGTAGTCAGGGTACCAACCATATGGGAAATTAAAGCACTTACTCTGGGTACCAACCATATGGGTAAGTAAAGCACTTACTCTTGGTACCAACCATATGGTTGAGTAATGCACTTACTCTCTGTACCAACCATATGGGTGAGTAATGTACTTACTATTGGTACCAACTATATGGGTGAGTAACGCAGTTACTATCGGTATTAACCATATGCATATGTATCATCTTTACTCTTGGTACCAACCATATAGGTAAGTAACACACCTACTCTTGGTACCAACCATATGGTTGAGAAACCCACTTACTCTTGGTACCGGTCATATGGGTGAGTAACACACATACTCTGGGTACAAACCGTATGGGTAATTATTGCGCTTACTATCGGTACCAACGATATGGGTGAGTAATGTACTTACTCTTGGTACCAACGAAATGAGTAAGTAACGCACATACTCTTGGTACCAACCATATGGGTGAAAAACGTACTTACTCTCAGTACCAACCATATGGGTAAGTAACGCACTTACTCTTGGTACTAGTCATATGGGTAAATTACGCCCTTACTTGTGGTACCAACCATATAGGTAAGTAACGAACTTACTCTCGGTATCAACCAGAAGGGTAAGTAACGTGTTTACATTCCGTACCAACCATATGGGTAAGTTACGCACTTACTCTCGGTACCAATCATATGGGTGAGTAACGCAAATATTTTCGGTACCAATCATATAGGTAAGTGATGTAATTACGCTTAGTACCAATCACATGGGTACGTAACGCGCTTACTCGCGGTACCAACCATATGGGCAAGTAACGCACTTACTCTTGGTACCAACCATATGGGCAAGTAACGCACTTACTCTTGGTACCAACCATATAGGTAAGTTGTACACCCACTCTCGGTACCAACCATATGGTTGAGTAATGCACTTTCTCTCGTTACCGATCATATGGACGAGTAACACACTTAGCCTGGATACTACCCATATGTGTAAGTATTGCACTTACTCTCGGTACCAACCATATGGGTGATTAACGCACTTACTCTTGGTACTTGCCATATGAGTGAGCAACGCACTTACTGTCAGTAGCAACCATATGGGTGAGTAACGTACTTACTATCGGTAAAAACCATATAGTTACATACTCACCCATAAGTAACATACTCACTCTCGGTACCAACTACATGGTTGAGTAATACACTTACTCTCGATACCGATCTTATGGATGAGTAACACATTTAGTCAAGGTACTAACCATATGGGTGAGTAAAGCACTTACTCTTGGAATTAACCATATGGATGAGTAACAGACTTACTCTCCATACCAACCATATGGGTAACTAATGTACTTACTATCGATACCAACAATATGGGTGAGTAATGCACTTACTATCGGTACCAACCATATGGGTAAGTAACGCCTTTACTCTTGGTACCAACCATATAGGTATGTAACACACCCACTCTCGGTTCCAACCATATGGTTGGGTGACGCACCTTCTCTCGGTACCGCTCATATGGATGCGTAACGCATTTAGTCTGGGTACCAACCATATGGGTGAGTAACGCATTTACTCGCGGTACCAACAATATGGGTGAGTAACGCAGTTACAATTGGTACCAACCATATGGGTAAGTAACGCCTGTACTCTCAGTACCAAGCATATAGGTAAGTAACACACCCACTCTCGGTACCAACCAGATGGTTGAGTAACTCGCTTTCTCTTGGTACCAATCATATGGATGAGTAACACACTAAGTTTGGGCACCAAACACAAGGGTAATTAAACGCACTTACTCTTGGTACAACTATATGTGTAAATAACGCACTTACTCTTGGTACAAACCGTATGAGTGAATAACGTTTTTACTGTTGGTACCAACCATATGGGTAAGTATCGCACTTATTCTCTGTACCAATCATATGGGTAAGTAACGCACTTACTCGTGGTACCAACCATATGGGTAAGTAACGCGCTGAGTCTCGGTACCAACCATATGGGAAAAAACGTTT